CTACACCTGGTGGGGTTATAGAATATCTTAGTAATATCATTTAGCTACACCTGATGGTGTTATAGAATATCTTAGTAATATCATTTAGCTACACCTGATGGTGTTATAGAATATCTTAGTAATATCTCTTAGCTACACCTGGTGGTGTTATAGAATATCTTAGTAATATCATTTAGCTACACCTGATGGTGTTATAGAATATCTTTGTGCCATCAATAAACTATTCCGCATGCTGTTAAAATATTACTGGGTTTAGTCTAGAAAAATTAATAGTTTCTTTGAAAGTAATGTTCTTTTTTTATAGGAGTAGCTGTTATCTTCTGAGATTCAAGCTGTTTGTGTACCACTGCTATAGAGAATGTTTTATTGTGGTTTTTATAGTTCAGAAATTGGTTGTTCTCAATATCAATTATATCTGAAACCGTATATTTACTATATATTTGTTATAGAAAGTCGTATGTTTCTGGTATCTAACTGTAGACTGCTGGTAAAAAATCATTTACTAAAGATTGTCTTACAATTTTTTCTCTAACATAGAAGTCGGTTGTTCTTGATATCAACAAAGGCTGGATCTTTGGGAACAAACCTTATTGGAGCCAACCGTGTGATTATTATGGACACCTCTTGGAACCCTTCTCACGACACACAAGCGATCTTTAGGGTGTACAGATTTGGACAGAAGAAGCCGGTATACATTTACCGATTTCTTTCCCAGGTAAGATTAATTAAAAATAACTACCCAGCTTAAAATAAAAAACACTGTAGTACCCAATCACTGAGAAAAAATAACTATTCAACTTAAAATAAAAAACACTGTAGTACCCAATCACTGAGAAAAAATAACTACCCAACTTAAAATAAAAAACACTGTAGTACCCAATCACTGAGAAAAATAACTACCCATCTAAAAATAAAAACACTGTAGTACCCAATCACTGAGAAAAAATAACTACCCAACTTAACTCTCTCAACATGGGGTTGGTCAATTTGACCAAGTCACATGACTTTTTGTACTTGTTTAAAATCTTTATATATTTAATACACAACGTTATACAACATGCCATTTGGTAGATGAAAACCTTGACTTTCTATTGGTTACAGGTAATATATATAATGAAACGTAAGAGAGAACTATCAACGAAGGCTTTCATCTATCAAATGACGTATTCTATAATGTTGTGTTCTGAACAGAATATTGTCAGTTTCACTCACAGTACAAGATTCGTTCTCAT